TTTTTTTTTTTTTGAGATATTCTTGCTCTGTTGCCCAGGTTGGAGGGCAGTGGTGCAATCTTAGCTCACTGTAACCTGTGCCTTCTGGGTTCAAGCGATTATCGTGCCACAGCTTCCTGAGTAGTTGGGATTACAGGGATGTACCACCACACCCAGCTAATTTATTTTTATGCATATTTGTCTATTTATTTGGATGCGGAGTCTTGCTCTGTTACTCAGGCTGCAGTGCAATGGCGCAATCATGGCTCACTGCAACCTCTGCCTCCTGGGTTCAAGCAATTCTCCTGCCTCAGCCTCCCTAGTAGCTGGGATTATAGGCGTGCATCACCACGCCTGGCTAATTTTTGTATTTTTAGGGGAGACAGGGTTTCACCATGTTGTCCACGCTGGTCTCGAACTCTTGACCTTGTGATCCACCTGCCTTGGCCTCCCGAAGTGCTGGGATTACAGGCATGAGCCACCTCGCGTGGACTCATGTTTTTATATTTTAAGTAGGGACGGGATTACAGGCGTGAGCCACTGCACCCGGCCTAATTTTTTATGTTTTAAGTAGAGATGGGGTTTTGCTATGTTGGCCAGGCTGGTCTCGAACTGACTTCTAGTGATCCATCTACCTTGGCCTCCCAAAGTACTGGGATTATAGGTGTGAGCCACTGCGCCTGGCCACATTATATGCTTTAATCACGTTGGCTTTCTTGCTGTTCTTCTAACACACTAGGTAAACTCGTGCCTCAGGACCTTTGCATTGGCTGTTTCCTCTGCTGTGCATTCTTCTTGAGTAACTCAAATCTTTGCTCAATTTTTTTTTTCTTTTCAGGGGTCTTCACTGATCAAATCTTATCTTCTCATTAAAGCCTGCATTGACTTCTCTATTTTAAATTGCAACCCATCCCCAGCACTTTCAGTCTTCCTTCTCCTGCTCTAGCATTACCAGTTTCCCAACAAACTATATAGTTTATTTATTTGTTATGCTTTTTGGGTGGGTTTTTTTTTTTGCCTATACTCCCTGGCTAGAATGAAAATTCTGCCTCAGATACTCCACTGTAGAGTTAAAAAAGAATGAAAACTGCCAGAGCAGGGATTTTTGTCTGTTTTTTTTCCCTGATGTATCCCAGGAGACTGGGACAGTGACGTGCACAGACTAAGCACTTAATAAATATTTATTAGATGAATGAATGTGCATCTACACTTTCTATGTTCAGGTAAGAGAAGAACAGGCCAGGTGCAGTGGCTCACACTTGCAGTCCCAGCGCTTTGGAAGGCCAAGGTGGGCGGATCACCTGAAGTCTGGAGTTCAAGACCAGCCTGGCCAACATGGTGAAACTCCATGTTTTTTTTTGTTTGTTTTTTTTTGAGACAGAGTCTCACTCTTGTTGCCCAGGCTGGGGTACAATGGTACCGTCTTGCCTCACTGCAACCCCCACCTCCTGCGTTCAAATGATTCTCCTGCCTCAGCCTCCTGAGTAGCTGGGATTACAGGCACCTGCCACCACACCTGGCTAATTTTTGTATTTTTTAGTAGAGATGGGATTTCACCATGTTGGCCAGGCTGGTCTCAAACTCCTGACTTCAGGTGATCCACCCACCTTAGCCTCCCAAAGTGCTGGGATTACAGGTGTGAGCCATTACGCCCAGCCGTGAAACCCCATCTTTACTAAAAATACAAAAATTAGCCAGGTGTTGTGGCAGGCACCTGTAATCCCAATTACTCAGGAGGTTGAAGTAGGAGAATTGCTTGCATCCAGGAGTCAGAGGTTGCAGTGAGCACTGCACTGCACCCCAGCCTGGGTGACAAAATGAGACTGTCTCAAACAAACCAAACCAATAACCAAAAGAAAAGGAAAACCAACTGCTGTGTGCCAGAAGGAAGAAGGGAAGCCTGTTCTTGATAACAGGAGAGATTTTCTCCATTTGAATTTCTGACTCTTGTTTTCTCTTTTTTTTCAGGCTGTAGCAGAGGAGGAATGATTGTGAATAGCCTCTCTCTGTGCTACCATAACAAGCTAATTCTGGCCCCAATGGTTCGGGTAGGGACTCTTCCAATGCGGCTGCTCGCCCTGGATTATGGAGCGGACATTGTTTATTGTGAGGTAAGGGGCTCCTGATTTTTCTGGGTAGGCTTCTCCACAAGTGCAGATTCTTCTCCATTTGTGTGTGGGAGTGGTCGGGAGTTAGGGGAGACAGATGGGAATTGACTTTACAGGTGCTCACTAAAGGCTGGAGGAGACAAGCATATGTGATACTCATGAGTCCTGTGAACCCTGCTAAGGCCCAGGAGCCTGTAGCACAGAGGTGTTCTGGAATACCCTGGGCTAGTTGGATAGATGAGTTTCATGTCATGTCTGGGCAACCTAGTGAGACCTCATCTCTATTTTAAAAAATAAAAAGAGGCTGGGTATAGTGGCTCACGCCTACAATCCCAGCACTTTGGGAGGTTGAGGCGTGCAGATCACCTGAGGTCAGGGGTTTGAGCCCAGTCTGGCCAACATGGTGAAGGCTTGTCTCTACTAAAAATACAAAAATTAGCCGGGCATGGTGGCATGTGCCTGTAGTCCCAGCTACTCAGGAGACTGAGGCAGGAGAATTGCTTGAACCTGGGAAGTGGAGGTTGCAGTGAGCTGAAATCACACCACTGTACTCCAGCCTAGGTGACAGAGCAAGACTCCATCTCAAAAAAAATAAAATAAAATAAAAAGAGGCTGGGCATGGTAGCTCATGCCTGTAATACTAGCACTTTAGGAGGCCAAGGCAGGAGGATCACTTGAGCCTAGAAGTTTGAGACCATCCTGGGC